TTTCAAGACACTCTTGGAAGTTACTTCTCCTTCATTTCTGCTCTTCATTTTACACACTTTAACTCTCACTTTTTCTTCCAAATGATAATTTACGAAATTTCAGGAAAGCAGTGATTCATCAGGTTATAATGCTGATCCAACTGATTGTCGACGATATTATCAATGCGCACAGGGACGATGGATTAGAATGCAATGTCCCAGCAATTTGGTATGGAATCCGGCAGCAACAGTTTGTGATTGGCCCCAAAATACATTACTTTCCTGCCATTGAATACAATTTCTGCATTGTTTTCTTCTTTTTTTATAATTAATTAAGCTTAATTAATTAGATCTATATGTAAATGATTTTTTGTAATGTATAAGATTTTATAATTCAATATATACATATATACATGAGTGTGAATATGTGACAGTCATTGTCTTTCCATTATATCTTCTCCTATAAAGGTGTTTGTGTGTGTGTGTGTGTGTGTGTCTTTGGGAAATGCTATTATGCCAAAGAGAGCAGAACAAAGAAAGGCCTTACTTTCCAGGCTTCAGAAAGTCAATCCCATCTTCGTCTCACCCTCCATGCAACGGTTGATTTAGGAAGGAAATGAAAACATACCTATTTGAGATAGGTACATACTTCAAAAAAGGCAAACGTCCCGTGATTCCTCACTTTTTTACACACTGATTATCTATGATGCTTATCGATCCGTGTCCACGAATGTGCATAGTTTGTTAGCATCTTTGGAATTTTTGTTATGTGCTTTGTTTGATAAATCAAAATTACATTTCATTACGGAAATTTTTGCAATTTAACTTTTCGTGTTTTTTTTAGAAATATTTTTTATATAATAAGGATAATTCGTGTAGCTATAATATAAGAAAATGAAATGAGAAAGGAAAAAATGGTGAGGTATGGGAGATTTGATTATGGTTAACAAATGTGAAAGATGGCTGATATCTTTTGGATCATCCTTGTGAATCATATGACCTAAAATAGTTGCTTGACCTAATTTTATGTATTGCATCAGCAATGAAGCAAACCTGAAAGTTATGCCGAATTTTCCCCATTAATTAGATGAAATTAAGATTTAATTAGCTTAAAATGATTGAATTACAGAATATTGTTGTGGAAAAAATCGAAGTCCTTGAACAACACAAACTGAAGAAAGGCACTGCTAATGCTCACCTGCTTAATCATTGGCAATTTTTTGGAATTATCGAAGCAAGCAGAGAGAAAGAGAGAGAGAGAGGAGGATAGGGTTGGAAGGGTGAGAGAGTAAAAGGAAGGGGATGTTTTCAAAAGGGAGTGAAGAGTTGAATGAAAAGTTAAAATCAAGAGGAGAGGGAAGATTTTTAGAGAAAAAGAGAGAGAGAGGGCGAGAGAAAAAAGACGAAAATGAATGCAACTTTAGCATGACCTATAGGGAATCCTTGTCTAGCAGAGCCAGACTGACAAAGAATATTTAAAAATTTAAAGTTGTTTACGAATTCCAGAGATTGCAAGAAAAAGTGAAGTGTATTAGATGTCGAGAAAAGTAGGAAGTGAAGGGGAGATTCTCTTCCTCTCCCTGTCTAACCCTTCCTCTCTCTCTGAGTTGCCCCCTTTCAATTACTTTTGCAAAGGATTGGATGTACATTTCAACAACAGCACGCACTCTCTCCCACTTCGTAATGCTATTGCTACTGGTAGTAATCACGTATGCTTACGTCTGCATCATACGTGTTTTTGCATTTTACGTATGAATGTTATAAAGGCGCTCAGTTTTCCTCTTTTGAAATGTATAAATCTAACATAAATTAAATATATGCCTTCAAAGATGATAGGCATTTAGGCATTGAAAAGGTAACCGTTAAAGGAATAGATGAAAATTTTAGCACTGAGAAAGTTAAGTGGATGACTGAATATGTTAGGGAATGAGTCGAGAGACAGGTAGAAACAGTCTTTCTCATTCAAAATTATTCAATTTAGTAATCAAAATTGTCATATATTTTCAGGAAAATTCCAGTTTGTGTCTCATTTTCGAATGGTAGATTAGAATTGAGAGAAATTTTGATTGCTTATGCGACGTCCTGGAAAGCATTCATCCTCACCACAACCATCCACAACCACCACAGCAACAGCTAAGACAACTAATGCCATCTCGAAAACAGGATATAAAATGGCTTGGAAAAACGCGGTAATAATTCAAATTAATTCGAAATTTTCTTTCATCATTTACCACAAGAAGTGTTACATTTCATTTTTCATTATGCTGTTTGTTCTTTTTTTTTAATATATTAAATATTTCATTTAAATTTAGAAAGGAAAAAGTTAACACATAAGTTTCAGCTTGAGAGAACAAAGTTTTTTCTTCTTTTATCTTTATGAATATCGAAGAGAGGAGAGAGGGAGAGAAAGAGAGAAGAAGAGATGAAGTGGTGAAAGGATGAGGAGTAAGGAAGTGAGAGACTCGAGAAATCTCGGGATAGAATAGGAAACAGTTCGATTTCAAACGAAACACAAATCAACTGATCCGTTTACGTCCTTAGGCGCGAAAATATTACTGAGATTGTGCATGAAATCAGTCTTAAATTTGCATAAGACTGCAACCCTCACACTGCTTCCTGCCCTTTCCTCTCACTCCATGAATTCCTCAATGCACTTTCCTTTCACTCTTTGTGTATCCTTCCCTCCTTCCTTCCTTACCTGACCATAAATTCCCGGTTGTAATTGATAACATTTCTATTATTTCAGTCAATTCTTTCAATTCCATCGGGATTTCTTGTATGCTTTTCCGTAGACATCGTCATTTCTTTCACTCTATTAAAGCTTTTGATGGAAATATCATAAATTATAGATTGTCAGATTAAGTTTCTTGATGACAATACGGAACAGAAGCTTTAGACGAGAGAGAGAATTTTATTGCTTTTTGATGAAATCTTTTTTAAAAAAAATTCACACTATGAATTAATTTATAAAGTTATCTTTTTCTCAGATTTTGAAAATTGGGAAACAGAAATTGGTAGAATCAGTTACTGATAATTCGGAAAACCGAAAAGCCGGAAAGGCTGCGGTTGTAGCTGTGATTGATGACGATTCTTCTAGAGCGGTATGTTTGAGAAACATTACAAAGTAGTCAAAATTTTATCATTAGTCCACTATCTTTTTTTTGCTTCGCTTTTTCTCCATGCTACTTATTTAATAACTTTCAAGAAATGATTCTATTATTTTGAGGTTAAAGTTGACCATAACTTTAATTAAATCCTTCAAAATCAATTTACTCTTTTCTTCAGCACCCAAGTAAGTTATCATTGTTGAGCAAGAAGAAATCGATCTCGAAGATGGGGAAACGCGGCAGAACATCTTTTCTTGATTCTCCTCAAACTAAGGTAATGTTTGTAACTTCAAAATTTTAGTAGTAATTTTAGAATTTAAGAATATTTGGAAAGATTATTGTGCTGTTTATGTGTGATAGCTGAATACTATGTGTGATAGCTCAGTTCTGCTTTTTATCCCTTTGAATACATAATTACTTTTTGACTAGAAACTATTCTCACTTATCTCTCTTTTTCTCATATTTTTTCTGGTCACTGTTTATGAATAAACTCGGAATTATTGTTTTTACTACTTTTTGCTTGGATTTTATAAAGGAATATAATAATTTTGAACTGGGATGGTTACATTTTAAGTTAGCTTCAATTTCAGGTTGCAAAGCGGGTCATATCTTCTATTAAAAGTGATACTGAAATGTCTCCTAATTCTGAAGTAATTGACAGCGAGAAAAGTGTGAGTAGTTAATGATCTTTTCTCACTTAATATGATGGAATAAATTTTTGTCAGTTTGTAAGGTTTTAATAAATTATATTTTAAATCACTGGAAAATTATTTATTTTGTCGAAATACTTTTAAAATGAAGCTATCATCATTTTGCACTGCAGTTTAAAAGTACAACACGTGTTTAGATAGGATTTCCCCTCTTTTTTTCAACTCCACTGGAGGTATAAAATCGAAGAAAATACTAATTTAATTAAATATTAGGATAACAATGCATGCGAAGTTGCCGACCAGAATGATTTTGCTCAAAATTCATCAGCTCCTTCAATCAGTTCTCCGATAGTTCCACAATCATGTTTATGTAAGGAAGAACAATCAGGAACAGATGAGCCAGCATTGTTTGTCAATTCGTCGGTTTCTTCACAACTTTGTTCATGTAAGCGGACGCTTTCTGTTGGAATAACTGAACTTATATGTTTCACTTTGCTTCATCGCTTTGACTGAAGCAGTTTAAAACTAAACTTCAGAAATGTTCGTCTTTTATTTGTAATTTACAATGTGAATACTTTAAGGTTTAACTGTAACACAACCATCAGTAACTGTTGATGATTCGAATAAAGGAATGGAAAATTTAAACGAAGAAGCGGAAAATTTGTTAGAGGAAACTGAAATGTTGGAATGCAGGTAGCTGGTTTTAGTATGTGTTAAATCTTGAAAGTAAAGAGTTAATATGTATCATACAAACTTAATGGCCTACTTATAATGAGGTTTTGCAGCACAACAACAAAAGGCGTCAGAGAATTGTGTGAAGAAGAGAAACATATGATTTTAGTTGATTTTGATGCAGGAATGTTACCTCATGAAATCGAAGAGAAGTATGGAATAAGCAAATTACAGGTATTTTGAAGATAAATAATTAAAACGAAATTTACCAACTTAAGTATCAACTTAATTATAGACTTTTATCAAAATGCCATCATTGAATAAATTAGAAATTCATCTACAAGCAAATAGATAAGCATGTTTCGTTGTAGATCGCTGATGTATTGTCAAATCGTATTTCGATATTTCGTACTAATTGGTCTGATCTATTCACCTTAAAACGCCGTCGTACTGTTTATGTTCGTTTGAATATGCAAATGTGGAACTTTTTTTGTCAGTGTCGGGACCAGAAAATCTGGCTTAATGGTCGACAGCTGAAGGAACAGGCTTTGAAAATAGCACATGAATTAGGTGAATTGATACTGGACGAACAGTGTTGTTTTGGCTTCTGTTTTTATTTGTTTTTATCAGTTGCTGAAGAAACTAATCTGAGAGAAAGAAGGAATCACAAGAAAAATGTATTATCACATTTATGTTCAAGAGCTATAATGCATTTTACCCTACTGAAAAAATTTTATAATGAGTCTTTTCATTAATTCCGAAAGATTCGTTGAATACTCAAATAGTTTTAGGTCTACACAGTTTCAAAGCCTCCGAGGGTTGGTTAGATTCATTCAAAAGGCGTCACTGCATTGATCTCAAGA